TTCATACCCGATGGTTATTTGGTCGGGTATTTTAGAAGGCTCTATCCGGCGGGTTAGGAGTTGGTATAGGGTAAACCCGCACCCGACCCTACCCATTGCCATCCCTACTGTCAATACCAAGTCCTGCAAAACAGAGTGTTCCTGCAGAACCAAGAGTAACCTGCAGAATCAGTGTACCAACAATTAAGTAAACTTGACATGAGGAATTTTTTTACGTGGTTTCCAATACTGAGAATTCAGTATCGACTAGTCCACGGTCAAAGGTACTCTGATTTGAGTCCTTTGACGTTGCACTATGATAGTTGATCCGATTACAGATTACAAGCTTCAATCTCTCTGTGACTCCCTGTCACAAGATCAGAATCCCTAATAGAACTTTGCTCCCTGTTCAGTTCACCTTGAGGATCACACAAACTATCACTCTCGACAGTTCACACTTCCTTTCACTCAAAACTTAGACAATTTTCTCAATCTCCAAACTTTGAGTTTTTGCCTGAAAGGGTTGCTGTTCCAATCTGATTTGCTGACTTATATGCTTTGAGTTTGATGTCTGTTGTCTGATTGATTTGGAAAATCAATTGTGGTCTCGTTGATGAGTCTGATTGATCGCCATATCATCTCTTTCCTTTTATTGTTTCCCCAGCTCCTCTGTTCTTCTTCTTTCCTTTATTTTTCATTGCCATTGACCAAGATTCATCCAACAAACTCCCCCTAAGCTTGTCATTGGCTCCATTTATCACCTGCACATACTTAACACACAGTTTTTTTATTTTTGACAAAAGATAATCATTTAGATTGAAACCAATAGATTGTTACATCCTGGAATTCAGTCAGGCTTGGAAATCAAAAGATCGACATGTAGTCGGGAACAAAGACATGGCATGTCTAGCTACCAAATGAGCTACCCTATTGTTTCGTCGACCTACAAATCGTACAGTGAAACCTATGTTTGAAGCAAAAAAATTGACTATCTCCTCCAGAATTGCCCCTATTTGATTATCCCGAACATCCTTCCGGAGAATCTTCTCAATTATCATCTGGGCATCACCTTCAAACCTCATGACAGCGAATCCATTTGCCAAACACCAGCCAATCGCCTCCCGGAGGACCAAAGCTTCAACCATCATTGGATCCCCAAGGAACGGGAAATGAACCCCCTTCGCAAGGATGACCGCTCTATCAGAATTGAGGATAACCATCCCCCCTTCTGCATGAGATCCCAACCGCACAGCCCCATCCCACATACAAATTGCTGTGTCAGCTCCATCATATGTTACGGTAGGGGCCGGGGGGCGCGCAAGCTGATCAGTCTGGTCCCGGGGTAAGCTAAGCCATTCATGAACTTGTTGGTGGAATTGCCGCATCAAGGCAGGGATCCCAAACTGTTTGCCTTCAAAGACCACCCAATTATGGGATCACCAAATCCGCCACAGAACAACCACTATAGACATCACCAAAGCAGGGTTATGCACCACAGCCAGCAATTTCTTAAGAAAGAGCGGGAACGTATGGCGAGGCAAAACTTCACCCAGGTGGGCCAGCCCAGAATGATCCCACAATGCACGAGCCACCGGACACTCCAAGAACATATGTTCCAGAGTTTTCGATGCCTCCCAGCACACCGGACATCGAGGCAAAATGTCCACCTTCTTTTCACGCAACGCTTCTGTAGTAGGAAGAATTCTATGAAAGACTTGCTAGACAAACACCCTAAGCTTCGGAGGAATATCCGCTTCCCACAGCCTGATCCAACTTGGCTTATCCATCCAACTAGCCAAAGCCCTCCAACGACCATTCTGACGATCCAAATTCATCGCGACGTAGTACGCAGATTTAACCGAGAAAATGCCATCAGAAGTTGGATGCCATATCAATTTATCCTCAATATTCTGGCGCGGCAAAAGGATACGCCAATCAAATTTAGCGAGCAAAGCTTGGTTGAAATGCTCAAAGCGAAACCCCATGCCCCCTTAATGCTTACTTTTACACAAATTCCTCCAAGAAATCCAACGGATCTTAGATTTTCCTTCTTCCACCCCCCACCAAAATCGGGCTATATGCTTGTCAAGAAGGCGACACAGAGCCAGAGGCAGCTTAAAACATGACATAACATGCAGAGGTAAAGCTAAAGCCACTGATTTAATCAATGTTTCCTTAGTAGCCCACGACAATGTTCGCCTCTTCCACCCCTGCAATCTAGCCAGAATCCTCCAGGTAGCGGAAAGTAGCCATTTTCGAAGGGGCTATCAGAGAGGGGAGGCCCAAATACTTATCTTGGACGCCCACAGCCCCTACTCCCAATATTGCCGCCAAGAATTGCTGATCTGCCATATTTTTACTAAAGCACAAGCCGATTTCTCTAGATTCACTCTCTGGCCACTCAGCTCCTCGTATTCGTTGAGAACCTTGATCAAATTCTCACATTCTTGGAGGGAACCTTTAAGAAAAAGATAAGAATCATCGGCAAAGAACAAATGTGAGATACGAGGCGCACGAGGGGCCACTTTGACTCCTTGTAATTTCCCTTCCGAGATGGCTTGACGAATGAGAGCCGCGAATCCTTCCGTACAGATGACAAAAAGAAGGGGAGATAGCGGATCACCTTGTCTAAGCCCTCGAGAAGGGGGAAAACCCAGCTGGGGTCCCATTCATAAGGACTGAAAATGACGTAGATTGGAGGCATTCCTGAATCCATCCTCGCCAGAACGAGTTAAACCCCATTTTTTCCAGAACTCCTAAGAGGAGTGGCCATTCGACTCTATCATAGGCCTTTTCCATATCAACCTTCAGAGCCATATATCCCTTCTTCCCACGGGTTTTGATTTTCAAGTAATGCATTAACTCATGCCCTAAGAGGATATTCTCCACAATCTGCCTCTCCCGAATAAAAGCATTCTGGCCGTCGGAAATAATTTGGGGCAATATACAAGCGAGCCTCCTTGCCATAATTTTAGTAATAACCTTATACAAAAATTGGCAGAGACTAATAGGACGCAGCTGAAGAATTGATTACACTTGATCCACCTTTGGAATCAAAGTCAACCAAGTATGGTTAAATCTTCGGAGCATCCTACTAATTTTAAAAAATGGGCTCACCGCTCGAATCACCGATTCCCCAACTATACCCCAAAAGCTTGGAAGAACTTCCCAGTAAACCCGTCCGATCCTGGCGCCTGCTTGGACCCCATAGAGAAAACTGTTTCCCGTATTTCTTTAGGGAGGACTTCAGCAGTCAGGTTCGCATTCATTTCCGGAGTAACACAGGGGTCTATGGGGAGAGCAGCCACTCTCTCGTGCATATTCACAATCTGGTTTTCTGAAGTGAATAAGGACCGATAAAAATTGGTGGCAATATCTGCCTTTCCGCACTCCTCTGTGGTCCATTCCCCATCCTTATTGTAAAGACCAACCACAAAATTTCGCTTCCGACGTGCCTTTGTGACCGTATGGAAATAGGCGAAATTTTTATCCCCCTTCTTAAGCCAAGTAACGCGAGATTTTTGTTGCCAATAAACTTCCTCGGCCTCCCATTGCCTACTCAATTCAGTTTCTAACCGGGTCACCTCTTCCCAGTCAATAGGGTGAATGGCTTTTAGCCAATCAATTTCGCCTTGCAAGGTATGAATATTTCGCAGAGCATTTGTGGTACCAGCTCTGCTCCAATCATACAGCAAATGGCGGAGTTAACTAGAACATTGGGGGTACCAGAGATGATTTCTTGCCAAACGTAAGCCACCATAGCCTTGACTTCGGGATTGTTTGCCCAGCGAGCATCGAAACGAAAGAGAGGGAGACAGCTCCGCGTATAGGGCTTGTCCGAGAGTAGCAGAGCTCTATGATCAGATCCCTGATCCGTGAAGTGCTTAACTAGAGTTTCCGGATATCAATCTATCCAACTTTGAGAGCAGAGAGCCCTGTCAAGCCTTGCACGAGTACATGCCAAACCCATACGTCTATTAGTCCAAGTGAAAGGGTCCCCCTGAAAACCAGGATCATGCAGACCTAACATTTGGATAAGATTCCGGAGATCCAAAGATTGGGCAGCAGTCCAAGGATTCCCTCCATCTTTTTCATTTTCGCAAAGGGTAGCATTAAAGTCTCCTATAACCACAAAGGGAACATCAAAGCCCTCACAAAGCTCGCGCACCTGTGTCAATTGTATAGCCCGTCGCGCAATATTGCAACTCATATACACACAGACAGCAATATAAGAAAACCCATTCTCATTAATACGAGTACAAATGCAAAAATTGGAATGAAAAAACACTGAAGCCTCAACTTCAGGGGACCAAGCTACTACTAGACCAGCAGAACCATCAACAGCATCAACAAAGTAACATTGACTTGACTTAAATCCTAAACCCCGCATTCTACGGGAAATGACTCTCCGGCACGACCTTGTTTCTGAAAAGAAGACAAGGTCCGGTTTATTTGACCGAACTAACCCTACTGTTGTTTGGAATGTGAGGGAGGGTCCAATTCCTCTCACATTCCACCCCAAAATCCTCATTTATCTGATTGGGGCCACGTTTGGCTGGCTTCCTCCACCATCACAATTTCATTTTCTTCCTCCACAAACTGCTTTTTAGGAGTGGGTGTTTCCCCAACCTCCCCATCCACCTCTTCCAGTGCACGCTTTTGGGTCCCATCCTCCAAATTGGACCCATACTCAATAAGCTTCATAATCAATTCCCCTTCACCAGAAACCAAGGGATCTTTATCTTCATTGATAACCATATTGGCCTCGAATGCAGCCACCACTCGCCGCACCTGACCCGAATGGACCTGCTGATTCAGATTATCAAGGGTCTGACGGCATTTGATTTCGAACCGTTGGCCATCCTCAACAGAGAGAGATGCTTCCGAGCCCACCTGGTCATCATCATCATCCTTCCCCAAAGCCACCTTCCCTTTCAATTTCAAGGGACGTTATCCTTTTGGGGAATTAATTTCCCCTACAACCATGCTCTCGGCAGCTTTGAGTGAAGTCGCCTTCCTTTTCAGTTTCGAGGGCCGTTTTCCTTCCTGGGAGTCAACATCCCCATCAGCCATTTTCTCGGCAGCTTTGAGGGAAACTTTAGCGATCCCTTTATTTTTTTGGTCGCTTTCTTCCTAGGCGGCGCAACACTCGCCTGCAACTTGGAGACCGCTTTCACTTTGCCAGCTGGGGACGAGGCCAGACGTGTTTGGGATGAGCTAGCAGTCGCTAGGTTGGCTCCCACCATAACCAATCGACGCCCCTTCCTCTTCCCTTCAGTCTCCGCCTTCTCGCCCGGGACAGGAACAGTTGGAATGATGACTTCGTCATCCGAGTCATCGAGAAGGAGACAACGCCGCCGAGGCTCCATCATAGGAATCACCCCCGAAACTTGTTCCATAATCTGACCATCCACCTCTTCTATCTTGCTCGCCCTACCTCCTCGTTCACATCACCCATCATTAGCCCCTGGCGAGAAATAGACACTGGTTTCACATTTGCCAAGTTGCTCGAGTGGTCACCATGGCGCGAATGGGCCTGTCCACGTTGTTGAGCTGCCGTGATGGTGATAGTAACTGGCGGCAAGGAGGCAGGCGAGCTTCTCCCAAACTTGAACTGAGGCGACCTGGGAATTTTGAAGCCGTGGGGACTATATTGGCGTAGTCCCCTTTGTGGTGACAAGGTCGCGCGTACAGCTTGGTGAGCAGGCCAAATTGACCCGTGGTAGCCTTCTTCCAGCATCTCTCCTTGGAGCTTTGTGAGCTTGGCCGCACCAAACCTTTCATGATTTTGCTCTTGGAGATTTTTGTTAACCCAGACAGAGTTTTTGCCTCTCGGGAAATTTTGTTTCTGATCCTCATTATCATAAATTCGAGTACCAAGCTTTCTTGTGGACATGTGAGGACCGAAATTCTCTTTTCTGGTTGGCGGCTCAAAAGTACAGGCCCTGAGTGAGTGTCCCACTCTACCACACTGGTAGCAGAAGCTGGGAAGGTATTCATACTTTAGGCTAACCCAGAAGCAACCTGTATCATCGTTGGCCGCCATGATTTGGGAACGGAGCAGCTTAGTGAAATCAATCAGGGCTTTCACCTTCACAAACCAGGTTCCCGTCTCTTGACAAGCAAAAACCCCAGACTCCAGCACCTTCCCAATAGTGGCATTCACCACTTTCCTTCCAAATTGCTGAGTACAACAGTCTTCCTTCACGTCCCACAACTGTAGCCGAAAAGGGGCAACAGCAAGGTCATCATAGATTTGCTGCGTAATGACCGGAGTCCATTGACGGAGGTGGAGGATCTTGTCGTTGATCACCCACGGAGTGAGCTTTAGCACCCAATTTTTTGCTTCCTCATTGAGAAGCATGAACTCGACCAGTCCGTGTTTTGCGAGCACCACTCGAAGGCGACCTTTGATGAGCCAAGGGTCGAGCACCGCATCTCGAAGTTCCGTGGTCAAGATTCTATTCTCTGTGAACACCCTTCCCAGCAATGAATGAGTAGCTCGATACCTGGTAGACTGAACCTCCTCCATTGAAAATTGGACGACTTGATAGGAAGCAACGTGCGCCATAGTGTGAACCTGAATAAGAGAGGCATCACTAGGGTTAGCATTCCCTTTCTCCTCAAAAGGAATCGATGCACTCCATCCCTCATCCTGAAATTGAAAGGATGTTGCTGGAGCGCTCGAACAAGATCATGCAAGGGGAAGGCCAGTAAAAAACTTGGCCATGCACGAGAAGGAGACTTGCGTAAGAGCAAGGCGGAATTGATACCTGGGCTGGAGATGGCACCGTGCGGGTCTGAATCCTGATCGCTGTATACTTTTTTCCTTGCTCGAAGATGAGTAGCTATCTGGGAACAAGGAGCAGTCTTAAGCGATTTATAAAGGACGCAGAGTCCAGCATTCACCTTGCCTCTTTCCAACCGGTATAGGGTTTTCATACTCCCAGTAGAAGTGGGAGTTTTGAAAATAACAGCCGGTAGTTTGTTTAAGAATATATTATTATTAATCCCGTGAGGTTCAGGGATTCGATCGTGGAGAGAGAGACCACCATTATTTTCCACATGATACGGATCATCAGGATTAGGGCTCAGTTGCCAAGATAACGGGAAAGAATTTAAATTATGGAAATCCGGTGGGAAAATTCCTTTACCGAAATTCTGGCGGTTGGATGGGATTTCTAACCACCCATCATTGACGGCGGACTTCCTGTCGACGGGAATCGTGGTCCGCGCCAACCACCGGTGAGCACCACCGTGAGACGAAGTTTTTGTACACTCATCAACCGAAAGGGGAAGAGAGGTATTCCCGATTGCCATTATATCACTGGCAACAATCTCGGTTTGTTCGAATACCAACTCCTCCAAATCAAGTTCGTCCACTGTAGGGATCTTGAATGACCAGACGATCACTTTTGCGAATCGTAGACGCTTTGCGTCAATGGCATTCATAACATTGTTATTAGCTCGGTCAAATCTGAGTTTACGTTTGCCGCGGAGACACTTCGGTCTCCAATTTTCTATGGAAAGCCGACCATAGGACAGGATCGACGAGCAAGGACTGCCCCCCACTGAGGAGCGCAACTTCTGATCTCCTGTCACCTTCATTTTGCCTTCATTCTGGGGAGACCAGTCCGGATTGTTTGACCTCCCGGAGTGTACCAGTTCTTGATTGCGCAGGCATCACAGGATTATTGATGCCATCATGGTATTGACGAGATGCACGATCCATCGCACCAGTCGAAGGAGAGAGCGTTCCCCATCTCCCTTTTTTTCCTATGAATTCCCCTCCCCAACCCAAGTTAAATTACGCAATTAGTAGTTGACATTTTTCATTTTCACATGGCGCTTTCCACTTAACACACAGTTGGTGCAGCCTGTTCTGACAAATAAACCAAGGTTGTAACAGCAATGTCTTATTTGGACAGCAAGAGGAAACATTCAGGAGAATTTCTTTTATTCGTTATTGAAGCATAAGTAAATCACGAGACTCCACAGACACATCACAATAAACCAGAACTCAGCATGACTCAATCATCCTAATAAATACTAAGACTCTTGAAACTCTCCCTACAAAACTAACTTATTCCTAAAACTGATACTTTGGAGGAGACTCATACTCCGAGATGTCGTCTTCCTCATCAGGTTCTGAGTTAGAGCTCATGGGGTCATTAACTGCTCCGGATTCATACACAAACTTGGGCCACATCAAATCCTGTTGCCTAAGCAGTTTCCGAGTAGCAGTCTGTTTCCTTGAACCTGATGTTTCTCGTTTGATTACAGATACAACTGCATCAACCAGAGCACCAGCTAGGCTTTCAGATTGATAGGTCTCAGGACTGATCATTACTCCCCCTGAGCCAGTGACAGGCTTTCGGGGGCCAACTAGAGCATCAAGTTTAGCCAACACATGTTGCGGTCTTAAGTCATCTAGGACATTGCATGTGGTGACTTTGTCACACATATCAATACTAAGTAGGTATAGAAGTTTGGTGATCTTATGGCCAAAAGGTAGTGGACCATCAAAATACTCCAGGCCAAACTTAATCATGTGTTGAAACATGAGAGACACATAGTTGATTGTACAACCGGTTTTGGTATTGGAAATGATCCAAAGATCAGTGGAGTGAAGAATATCAGTGGTGGACAGATCACGAGGTAGGAATCACCTAGTGATAAAGAAATGTAACACCTTCAGGTCATCTGGGAGACGACTAGCTGCGAGTGGTGAGGGAAAGAGTTGCCTTATGTCACGAGTGTGTTGGGACAGAGAACCAAGTAGATCAAATCCATGAGCAGCAAACTCACTATATGTGCCCGCCTGAAGTCCAGAGTGCGGACAATTGAGCAAGGCTGCGAGGAGGGTGGGAGTAACTGTGATCTCATAGTTAAAGACATATGTAGTGAAGAAGGATGGATCACACCCAGGACCACACTTGAGATTGACAAAGAACAATCTGACTGCGTCGGGACAGTGACTGAAGCGCATGTTGTTAACCAACGAGCTCCAGCCGAGGCCATCGAGAAGTGATGGGATATCCATGTCATATTTGGAAAACCTAGAGGGTTGAATGGAAAAGGAAGGATAGATGGGACGATCGCGGAACCTGCGAAGGTATCTGGAGTAGGTGGCAGCATTTCGAAAACCTTTGTTGTTAAACACAGCTGCAGGATGCAACTGAGCATTGTTGAAAGCCATTTGAACGACGGTTGGAGTGAGATTTGTAGAGATGGCTGAAGATGGATATTTGACAGAACCCTAGAAGCTCATCTATATATAAGAAAAGATTGACCCTAGCGAATATTCGAGAAGAAGAAATGAGGAAAGATGAGATTTGACAAGAGATTTAATTTTCCTTAGGGAAGGCAAGTTTATATTCTTGAGATCCTAAGGTTTCAATGTCAGACAAGGTAAATAAGCCAAGTTCCTAACGAATGGGAAGAAATGTTTCTGCTCCCTAGGGGTTTAGTGAAAATATCAGGCCATTGCATGTCAGTGCTAATGAACTCAAGAGAGATTTTGCCTTCCTGCACTAGGTCACGAATGAAGTGAAATCTTACTTCAATGTGCTTTGTACGAGAGTGTTGAATCAGATTTTTAGCCATGTTAATAGCACTTGTATTATCACACAATACTGGTAATGAGCCTATATCTACCCCACAATCCTGAATTTGGTATTTAAGCCAAAGTAACTGAGTGCAACTTAGTCCAGCAGCAATATACCCTGCCTCGGTAGTGGATAGTGCTACTGAGCTTTGTTTTTTACTACCCCAAGAAATCAAAGAAGTCCCTAGGAAATGACAAGTACCAGATGTACTTTTCCTATCAACAACGCAACCAGCATAGTCTGAATCACTATAGCTGATTAAATCTAGACTAGCATCACAGGAATACCATAATCCGAGGTGAGGGGTGCCAATCGGATATCTGAAAATCCTTTTTACAACAGTCAGATGACTTACTTTAGGGCAACTTTGAAATCTTGCACATACACACACACTAAACATAATATCTGGTCTACTAGCTTTCAAGTACAGTAGTGACCCAATCATACCTCTATACATTCTGTCATCTACAGAAAGTCAGATTTCATCTTTTGTTAATTTGACAGTTGATCCCATAGGAGTGACAGCAGCTTTGAGATTATTAAGTTTAAATTTTTTAAGCATGTTTAGAAGATATTTAGTTTGACTAATGAAGATCCCCCTTTTTAATTGTTTAAATTGCAGTCCTAGGAAGAATTTGAGTTCTCCCATGAGACTCATTTCAAAAGCTCCTTTCATGTCTTATTCAAATTATTTGCATAGAGCACTACTGGATGACCCAAAGATAATGTCATCGACATATACCTGTACTAACAAGGTGTGAGTATTTTCAGTTTTAATGAACAAAGTTTTGTCAACTGCCCCTCTACGAAACCCCTTTCCTAGCAGAAATGTACTTAACTTATCATACCAAGCTCTAGGAGCTTGCTTAAGTCCATATAAAGCCTTGTTAAGTTTGTATACATGCTCTGGGAATTCATAATCTTCAAAACCAGGGAGTTGAGACTCATATACTTCTTCATTTATATCTCCATTTAGAAAAGCACTTTTTACATCCATTTGGAAGAGTTTAAAACCTTTAGATGCAGCAAAAGCACACAACAATCTTATAGCCTCTAATCTTGCTACTGGTGCAAAGGTTTCATCGAAGTCTATTCCTTCTTCTTGACTATAGCCTTGAGCAACTAGCCTGGACTTGTTTTAAGTTACAGTTCCTACTTCATCAGATTTATTTCTCCAAATCCATTTTGTCCCAATTATAGCTCTATTTCCAGGTCTAGGAACAAGTTCCCACACGTTATTTCTTTTAAATTGATTCATTTCTTCATGCATTGATTCACTTCAGTATTCATCAGCTAGAGCTTCCATCACATTCTTTGGTTCAATCAATGACACAAAGGCAGAATTCACATCAGAGGACTTAAATCGAGTAACAATACCTTCTTCTGGATTTCCAATAATGAGGGAAGATGGATGACGTTTTCTGATGTGAGGTGGGACTTGAGGCTCATTCTCATTTGCAGAATCTTCTGATTTGTCGTTCATCTGATTACCATCAGTCATGGTTTCTTCTGTGACTTCTGTGGTTATTACTCTACCAAGTCCAAAATCTTTAGACTCATCCAGACTATCTGCACACTCACTGGAAGATTCATCAAATATAACATTGATGGACTCCTCAACTTTGAGGGTCCTTTTGTTGTACACCCTATAGGCTCTACTATGGGTAGAATACCCTAAGAATATCGACTCATCAAACTTGGCATCAAATTTTCCCAGTTTATCTTTAGTGTTAAGAACAAAACACTTGCATCCAAAAGGATGGAAGTATTCCAGATTCGGTTTTCTCTCTTTCCATATTTCATAAGGAGTTTTATTTAGTTTAGATCGAATGAGAGCCCTATTGGTTACATAACAAGCTGTGTTAATGGCTTCTTCCCATAAATGTTTAGCTAGACCATAATCATTTAACATGGTTCTTGCTATGTCTATTAAAGTTCTATTTTTTCGTTCTACTACCCCATTCCGTTGAGGGGTTCTGGGCGCTGAAAAGTTGTGTGAGATCCCATTCTCATCACAGAACAGACCAAATAATTCAGATATGAATTCTCCTCCATGATCACTTCTAATATTAACAATTTTGACCCGTTTTTCATTTTCAACTCGCTTAGCAAAAACTCTGAAATTTTCAAAGGTTTCATCTTTTGAAGCAAGGAATAAAACCCATGTAAATCTAGAGTAATCATCTACAATAACAAATGCATACTGCTTCCCTCCTAAGCTTTTGACATTTGTTGTTCCAAAAAGGTCCAAATGAAGTAATTATAGAGGTCTTTTAGTAGAGATCAAGGTTTTACTTTTAAAAGAAGATCTGGTATGTTTACCTTTTGCACAAGCTGCACAGAAAAATTCCTTTTTACTATATAGTTTAGGAATGCTCCTAGCAAGACCTAGGTTTACTAATCTAGAAAGGATCCCTATACTCACATGACCTAGCTTCCTGTGCCATTCCAATTGATCATTTTTATCTACACTAACTAGACAAGTTTCGTTGAACAGAGTTTTATCATTTAAGTCAATAACAAGCATTTTCCTTCTCTTACCAGTGAATAAGATCTGCTTACTTGAAATATTTTCCACATAGCATGATTCTGGTTCAAATACTACCCTGTTTTCAGTTCCACACATCTGACTAATTGAGAGCAAGTTGTGTTTAAGACCCTCTACTAACATAACATCCTTAATAGAAGGGGTTATTCCAACCCGACCCTTTCCTAGAATGCTAGTACTATAGTTATCACCAAAGTAGACTTTACCTTTTCTCCCTAAGATAAATTTAGAAAATAACCTCTTTGTACCTGTCATATGGTGTGAGCACCCACTGTCCAGAATCCATTCACTGTCATCCATGCTCACTTGGAGACAGACCTGCACAATCATTGCTTTACTTTATTTTTGGTATCCAAATTTGTTTGGATACTTTTATAGTTTTATTACAGTATCTCCTAATGTGACCATTTTCCCCACAGTTGTAGCATATATGGTTCTTCAACTGGTTTTCCTTTATTGTTCTTTTCCTACAGTTTGCAATGTAGTGTCCATTCTGATGACAATAGAAACACTCAATCCTTTTCTTTTCCGAGTTATGTTTGTTTGAGATTCTACTTTTAGGTGATTTTACAGCCAAGCCACCTATTTTAAACTCATTTATACATTCTTTATGAAGTTGTACTTCTTTTAATTTGTTGAGTTATGCCTTAAGCTTTTCATTTTCTAAGATATATCGCTTAAGTTGGTTCTCTACTTCCTGATTATCCTCTTGAAGCTTATTATAGGCATTGCTCACATCCAGAAAGTCAGATTTCAGCTTTATGTGTTTGTGCCTAACATTCTCAAATTCAACCTGTATGTTTTTAATGGTTTCAGTCATTTCCTCAGTTTCACTATAGTAGTCAGAGTAGTAGGTGGAGTTACTTACCTGAGAATTCATCACATCATCGTCGCTTTCTTCCTGTGCCATATATGATGTGTGTTTGACTTCTTCATCCTCATCTTCCTCTTCACTGCAGCTCCAAGTAGCTGCGTATGCTTTCTCTTTCTTCATCATTGGACACTCAGCCTTTATGTGGCCAAGTCTCTCACATTTGAAGCAACCTGCTTGTGCTGATTGTTTGTCTTCCTTTCTGGTTCTTGGCATCAGTCGACCTGGCTTTGATTGATCTTCTTCGTTGAAGCGATTCATTAGTCCTCCTCTCTTCTTTTCTCTCCTTAATCTTAGCAGCTTTGACACATGCTTGCTTAGCAGTGCCAATTCCTCATCTTCCATCTCGTCTAGACTGTCAAGATCATCTTCTTGAGTACCAACTTTGAAAGCTATGCTTCTCCTTTCTCTCTTGGGCTCGTCAGTCTCTTCTCTATTCAATTTTTCTTCATGTGTGATCAGGGAGCCTATAAGCTCATCGAGATCGAGCTTTGTCAGATCTTTTGATTCTTCTATTGCTGTGACCTTGGGAGTCCATTTCCTTGGTAATGCCCAAAGAACCTTTATGACTAGATCACTACTCTCGTACATAACCCCAAGATTCATCAGACTATTGACAATAGCCGTAAATCTTTCATTCATGTCTTCGACTGACTCTTTAGGCTTCATAGTAAACGATTCAAAATCTTGCTTCAGAATGTTGATTCTTGAGATCTTCACATGAGATGTAACTTCATGAGCCACTTGTAACTTATCCCAGATTTCTTTTGCTGATTTTCACACTGTGACTCTGTGATACTCCTCTTGTCCCAATGCACAATACATCAAGTTTGTGGCTTTTGCGTTAAGCTGGAAGTTCTTCTTGTCTGTGTCTGACCATTTTCCTCGAGCTCCCTTTACTTCCAGTGGCCCATCTAGGATGATGTCCCATAGTTCTGGGTCTGTAGAGCAAATAAATAGATCCATTCTGTTTCGCCAGTACCCGTAGTGTACTCCTTCGAACCTTGGTGGTCTTGTTTGAGAAAAACCATCCGCCATGAAGATTGCCCCGACGTTTGCACTTGAACCCATCTTCTCCAAAGGTGGTTAAGCCTCGTTTGTTGGATCCGGGGTCTGATACCACGTATTGGTGCAGATGAGCGCGAGGCTGCAATGGCGATCCCTCTTCTTTTTTATCTCAAACCCTAATCTGCTCGACTGAAGGAGAAACAAAATTGTGAAATTGAAATTGAGTTTTGTGTTTGTTTGATCAGAAGCAAAACATAACTTAAATGTAGAAATGATTATATGTGATATTGGACTAAAGGAAAAGTCTTTATT